ACACACTCACACACACACACACACACACACACACACACACACACACACACACACACACACACACACACACACGAGCAATTGCAATGCTGCCTTCACATGAATAACAAAAGGTTAAGTCAACTGTCAGAGTCTTGAGTCGCTTTAGTGTTCCGTGGTTGCGTATGGATATCGTAAAATGAGGCGACGAGTCAGACAAGGCCTCGGGGTTATCTGCGGCCACATACCTCTGAATCACTTTCATGAGAATTAATATTCCGAATAGCACAGTAGCTAATGATGAACAATTCTTGTTAGGCAATTGAATACGGTTGTGTATGAAGTAATTGTTCTCAGCACTTCTCCTTTTTCCACCTTTTTGCGTTTCCACCTTTTTGCGTAAAACATTTTTTGGATTGACTTTATGAAACATAATTTACTGCACCACAGAATTTGGGTTTTTTCATGATATGTTAGTCATAATCATCATCTTGCAAGAAATAAAAGTGATGGATCTGTATACAATGTGGGTTTCACTTTATGAGTGACCAAAAAATATAATATACCTCTATGTCCCATTTAATACGGGTCAAACCATTGTCAGATTATTTGATATGCCTCCTCAATGTCAGGGATTATTTATATATACCTGCATTTCCAATTGAAATACAAGTACAATGAAAATGTTCTTTGCTGAGATATGTTCAGAGGTGGTGGGATTAGCCACAAAATGGCCGCTGTCCCGCAAGAGCCGTTTTGTGAAACCGTGAGCTTGACTACATGCTTGATTTTCCCTTTCAAAGGAAAATGATTGCTAATTATTCAACTACAACGACGTTTTCTTCCTAATAAAGTCCCTCAACAGTAGTAGCGCAGTTGATGTTCTTGGCTGCAGGATTCGTACGTGTCTGACGGTTACTCAGAGGATTGACCAGTGATTCTAGCCCCCCATGGTGGGATTTTCCTCCTTCCTTAGAGCAGCTGACTTGGGGTCAACTGCAGTCTATCAGTCCGACAAATGTTGTTCTTAACACTCTTATCTTCTGTGGAACGTACAGCCGCGCATGCTTGAGCACATGCCTTAACCGAGACCGGTGAGCCAAATTCCTCTGGGTGCTCCTCGGTCCTTAGAGTCATTGCTTCCTGTCAAACACATGTCAAAAGTAGATTGAAGTGTACCTCTGGTGGTCTGACCAAAATATATGTGGTTTATTTAGAAAAACTACAGCTAAGATTGGTTTTGGCTATACCGGTTGAATTAAATAAAGCAAGCTCTTACTTTAGTTTGCGGAACCTATTTGTCAAGACGCCATGACATCTCATGTGCGAAGCCATACTTGCCTACAAGAAGCGGATCAGGGTCGATACTGACGGAAGGTCCGTAAATTTGTCACTGAAGATGCCTGTTTTGCTGACTCTGTTTCACATGAGCCCGGTGCTGCAAGCGCATGCATAATAATCAGTCACTGCTCGCAAAGGCGAGAAGCCTGTTTGTGATGCGGGTCAGGATACATCCGCTTTATTTATTTATATTTGTCTGGATGCCACGTTCATGGCCATCTAACCGGCTGGGTGTATCCTGGACATCTCGATGTCAAATGAGGAAGCGGACGGCGCTGTGACTCGCGGTCTGCCTGGCAATGGACTTAAAAAAAAATTATGTTTGAGAAAACTGTTGCTATGTCTGCTTATTTGGGTCACCTACCGAGAATTAAAAATAAAAAACTGTTTCTTTTCATCTCTAGCCAAGCGACCTGGCAACTCATTAGCAACCGGTGGGTGCAAGGGAAGGCCGAACCAATGACTTGACATCACAAGAAGGCGCCGTGCATAAAAATTAAGCAGGGTGATTATTTTGGCAAATACAAGAGCAGACACAAAAAGGAGAACACCAGATAATTATCAAACTTTACAGTATTGCTGTTTCCCCATCAAGACCTCAAAAAGGGCTGCCGGAGGTATACTTCAACCATTGTTAATATTGAAACAACTTGTTTCACTTGTGTTGTTTATCACAGAAGAAAGATGTTGTATTATTGCCGTAGTCAATTTATTCTTCTGAGCAGTCAGAACAGGACATGTAACACTTGGAACTGGAAAATGTATATATTTTCCATCACATTTTTCCTTTTTGCCATCAAAGGTTTTATTGTGTCCTCACAAAAACAACAATACAAAAAGCATTTAAAAAAAATTGCAGCACGTCTTCATCATGTTGTCCAAGCAGCCAGAGCAGTAGGATGCATGTACAATTTACGCATTACAAAAAATTCATTACTCGGTTTTGTGGTCGTCATCATGTCATATGTTTTTTTTGTTCTGTGTCAGAACAGTTTTTACATTTGAATATAACCGCTTGTATATTTTATGTGCAACCTTTGATGGTGAGTGACTGAGTCAATTTTCCAGTGTGCATTTGTCTTTATTGTTGAGTAATTGTCAGTTGAGCCAGATTATACTGAGCAGCCAGGGCAGTGATGCGTTCAGTGGTTTAAAAATAAAAACCTCTCAAAACAATAACAAAAACTTGCTCAAGAATCTCGAGTCTTTCAAGGCATATTTTCCCTGAAAATATTCCTTCAACGTTGACTTTGGAGGAACTGCATGAATTTAGCCTCTCCACTGTGTGTCAATGAGACGTCCCCATTTGTTTCCACAGGTAGCGAGGTCCTCACAGCTTGTAACACACACACCCACACCCACCCACACACACACACACACACACACACACACACACACACACACACACACACACACACACACACACACACACACACGCAACCAAACAGTTCCTCTCAGGGCTGAAAAATGTTCTGTGGGAGGACAAAGAATAACTTCCTCTCTCGCAGAAATGATGCAAAATGAAAACATGATGTCATCCATTTTGTGCCTGGACACTGGCTAAAGAAAGCTCGCTGTTGGGGCTCTTGTGGATTCTTCCTCTTCCTTTTTTCCCTTAAATGTACAAAAGCTGTTGCTCTTAATACTTGTATGGTGATGGATAGAATACGTGTTCTAAAATAATGAATGGAAATATAACCATATACAATTATATTAATATAATTTTTGCCATTCAGTATTAAGTTAAATATGCCAGGTCAAACAAGACTGCTTTTATTTGTTAATTAATGAATAGAAAATAGCTTGTTTTTTTTAGTCTAGAAAGACAATTTTTATGATTAAAAACAAGTGTTTTAAGACAAGATAAACTTGTTTTTTCATAAAAACTTTTATCATCAAATATTACTGTTCAAAAAGGGTTTTGATTTTTATGTTGAGGAAATGTCGCCGGTTTCTGAATGTAACTAAAAAAGTTACTTGTAATCTAATTTACATGTAATTCCTTCTTAAATGAAGTAACCATTAAAGTAACGAAGTTACATTTGAAGTCAAGTGATCAGTAGTTACTTTTTCAACAACCGTCAACACTGGTTATGACAAACGACTTGTCAGATGGCGGCAAAAGGAAAACACCGACAATGTGAAAGGGGCTTCAATTCACACAGTAATTTTTTATTTTTTTTTTACCTTCACACTTAAGATGAGAAAACCTTAAGCCGGTTTCTCACAAGTTTGCAGTCTGACAAATTTGCAGGTTGACTTCAACTACAGAGTCACAGTACAAAGCAGATTTGGAGATTAGAAGGGGCCTTGAAAAACAGAGTTTCTGCTGAATTGGCTGACTTCGATTAAGCCCCCTTAAGTGCAGTGACAAAGCGGACTGACGGTGCAAAAGGGGCCTAAAAACCTTCACACATCAGATCAGAAATTTTTGTAAGCCCCTTTCATAGACATCCAGATGACTCTGACCGTGTCAAAGAGGCTGAAAAGTTGTCCTTAACAAGAGCTTTTTGAAGCCCATTTTCCATAGTTTCCACAAAAACCGGTGCACAGGAGTGTTTAGGTTCATGTGCCTTTCACTCAAAAACCCAGCAAAGAGAGCGCATTGCTTTTTGTCCCTGCATTTTGAGCCAGATTCCCCATGGTGACTTCAAATCCAGCATGCCACCATTTTCTGCGAAAAAGATGACTTTGATCGTGTCAACGGGGTCTTTAAAACAGTCTTAATTTTGACTTCTTCTTTCCCAGCCTTTCCTTGTTTAAATCCCCTCTCACACAGTTTTTATAGCAAAATTTGGCGCAGCAGAGATGTAACATTTTAACCGGCATTTAGCATCCTGTGCCTTTCACCCAGTTGACATTCTTCCTCAGTTAGGTTCAGTTTTGGAATTAAGACAACTTTATCCATCCTCACGGGTTTAACCGCGCTGATACGACCTAGCAAGTGGGAAATGTGACCTGTCGATAACTTTCACACATACAGCAGTCATGGAAAAAAGGTGGCCTGTTTGACAATGGGCTGAGACGGCACAAACGGTAGTTGTTTTCCCTCACGCAACAGCAAGCTTTTTTTTGTTTTTTTCGATCAAAGACATTCAGCCATTTAGCCAATTGCTCTTTTCACACCATCTCACATTTCAAGAACTCATTTCGCCCTCCTGCGTAACAGACTTGCTTATTGTGTTCACATTAGGAAGTTAAATGAATTGTTCTCAGTAACTTCCTTATCTCCCAGCTCTTCCATTTTGACCATTCACATTGTGAGTTGTTGTGTCTTTTCAGGGTCCTCGCGGTCATCAACGCTGCCCGCTTTGTCCAGCAGGACGCACAGCAGCAACAGTTGCTCCTCGACCATACACAAAGACTCGGGCAGCGACATCGAGAGCTTGCTGAGCGCCGAGGTGGGGTATGACAGCGTCTTCATCAAGGTTTGACCCACTACAGTTGAAAACGTAACACCTGCATGTGCAAAAAGATATAAAAAAAAAAAAAGACTAAATGTTTGGTGCAATATGGTCTAAATACAAGAAAAAATGGTCCAAAATTATGAAAGTCAACCCAGAAATGTTCTTTATAGTAATACCGTATGTTCTATGTATCTCCATTAGTCTGAACACGGCAGTTGGATTATCACCTTTATGGAATATGAGTTAAGCAGCGAAATCCACCCGTTGTTAGCCAGCTCAGAGTGCGGCCATTTTGCCAATTTCTGTCAACTGAAAATGACATTGAAAGTTGCTCAGGGCACATTTTTATTTCAATAATGAAAGTGTGTTTTCAAATTAATTTTAAATTGCTAATTTTTGTTCATGACATTAACCTTGGTCTGAAAACAAACTAAGTAGGAAATGGGCACGACGTGTTGCCATGGCACCCGATCGAAATGCGAGTTACCGACGTACGACCAGCCTGCGGACACCCCGGCAAGTCACAGTGCGCTTAGATCTTTTGCCAGTCGTGCTGTCCCGACGATAACAACATTAAGTCCTAAACTCGGAGTTGATTCCTTCTTAAAGCGCCGTTGGCGGGTCACGTGGCCCGCCTGAATGAACCCCCGCGGTCACGTGATCACTTGACTTCCCAGAGGAAGTAGGGCGGGCTGGCACAAAGCCTACCTTTCACTACTAGCTCTCCTGACAGAAGTGTCTCTGTGACAGGCTTCTTGTGCCGCAGCTGGTGGGACAATAGGCCACAGTGAGAAAGCTCACACCTTCAAATGAACTCTTAATGGACTGCTTGTATATGTGCGTGAGCGCGTGTGTGTCTCTGCAGGCATCATTTCCCATCACACCAAATATTATTCAGAAGTGCTCAAAACGGTCATGTTCACGGAGTGATGTGGTATGACCTTGGCCCACTAGTGCCACCACAAAGCCGAAAACTAGTAGTAGTAAGCAAATGGACACCTCTGTAGGAAAAATAATATGTGAAAATGGGGAAAAGTGTTAAGAATATCTGCGAAAGTTAAGAAATAAGAATATTTCCTGGTGGCTCTAGCGTTGGTAGAAAATAGTAAAATCAATCATCAAAAATGAGGGAAAAATGGTATAGAAAACTAAAATTGATGAGAAATTAGTGAAAATGTAATAGTAATTTTAATTGATTTTGTTATACTCATCATCCCTACAGGGGAAATTAAAGCACTTTCCACTCTGCTTTCTGCCAAATTGTTAAATGAGTGAAAGTTGTAAAAAAAAAAAAAAAAAGCCGCAGATTATGACACATTAAAAATATGAAAATTTGTGGAAAAAAAAGAGCAAAAAAAGCAAAAAATGTTCTATCGAAAATGATAAAAAATGTGATCATTTGTCAAACATTGTAAAAATAAGTGAGCGGTTAAAAAAAACAAGTGAAAAAACATAAGTGTAAATAAAAAGTATTTAAATGTTTTTTTTTTGTTTTTTTTTTTTTTCAAGTGAAAAAACATAAGTGTTAAATAAAAAGTATTTAAATGTTTTTTTGTTTTTTTTTGTTTTTTGTTGGTTTTTTTTTTTTTTTTTTTTTTTTTTTTTTTTTTTTACAATTGTTGTAATTCTCCTTTGCGTGCCTGTTGTTCGTTACTTTCGTTTTCAATTAAATCTGACTGGAAGCATGACGCATTCAAGTGTGCAACGAAAAAAAGAAAAATGCAAACAAAAACAGTAAACGCGCACCTCTGTCACCCATCGAACGATGATGATGATGATGAGGCTGATGATGATGATGATGATTGTCATAACATTACATTTAATAATTCTTCTTTTAATATGGATCGTCTCATTGGCTGGATGAATGTTTAAACGGATAAAATCATGACACTTTTTTCGCGTGTATTATTAATTATTCTGTGTAAAGGCCATCGCGATGAATTCTTCCACGTACGTGTGTGTGCGTGTGTGTGCGTGCGCGTTTATGCGTAAGCGTGCGTGTGCAAGAGTGCGCGCGTGTGCCCTCAGCGAATGCAAACGCTATACATAAATCAGAGATGCAACGCAACGGTGGGCCATGTTCATTCACAAACAAGGAGGCTCCGTCGTCATCATCATTAGCTTATTCAGCCTCGCTTTAATTCTGCTTTTGCTCAATTTGCCGCGAGATTTCCGTCTGCTTTATCGCCGATGGAACACGAATGCGGCAAAAAAAAAACGTTTTAATAGCAGAAACAATATCGTGGCCTACACCACAAAATGCGCATGAATATAAAGAGGTCTCAATTTCTTAAGACAATTTATCTTTCTGCAGTTTTCTGAACTGTATCCTGAGAATTGTTACAGTAATACAGTAAAGTAATATACCACACACACACACACACACACACACACACACACACACACACACACACACACACACACACACACACACA